AGGAAGGAAGGAAGGAAGGAAGGAAGGAAGGAAGTGGGAATAGATGGGAAAGAAAAGGAAATAAAGTAGAGAAGGAAGGAAAGAAGTATTTACTTGATCAGGCATTGTGCTAAATCCAAGGGTTACAAACATAAATTGAGACAGACCTTGCTGTCAATTTCTTCATACTCTAACACAATTAGGAAAATACAGATAGGTAAATGTTGACTATTAGTGTTTTGGTTTGGAGAGAGTCTCAAGAATGGTGAGTTGATCCATAGGGCAACCCATTAACATGCCCTTTCCAAAATCAGTGGTACAATGGTATTAATTTGATTACAGCACTCAGAGCAAGACATGGGAAGGAGGTGGAGTAGAAGGGGGTCCATTTGGCACAACAGATGGCAAGATGGCTTAGGTGGACAGCTGAATGATATGTGAAGTATGGTTTGGAATCTGCCTAGATAGAATGGGCTATGTAAAATTCCTGCTCACTCAGTACTCAAGCCAGGCCACTCAGCCCCAGGGCAATAGTTCTAAAATTGGATGGCTTAAATCCCCCAATGCCTGGCATTGGGGTTCTGGAGATCAGGTGCAAAACAGACTAATCTCAGGAGGGAGAAGTAAGATGCAGCAACAGGGCAGATGGCAAGATGGTGCAGGTGAATGACTGGTCTCTTATGATCATATTTAAATCCCATTCCTGCATGATTTTAAAGTGATTTAAAATGTCCTCACAACAGAAATATGAGCCCTGAAAAGCTCTGTGTGGACACTGCATGTGACACCAGTATTACCAAAGAAAAGCTGGAATCTAGATAGAAAATGAACCTTGCTAGCAAAACTCCCCAACAGGGAAGCTCCTGATATGTTAACCCATTTTGAGTGGGGATTATTTTGTTCTTTGTGCTTGTATCTCCATTGCCTAGCCTTGTGGTTGACACACAGTAAGTACTTCACTGTTGCTAAGTGATTAATGTACAGACCCCCAACTTCGAAGCTTTTCTTTACTTAGTAACAAGAAATAATCATTTATCATCTGTTAATGTGTTACTCCACCAACTCCTGCTACCCATCTTTTTGCCCAAAGCCTTCCTGTTCTGTTTTCCTCTCCTCTCTCCCTCACTGCTACTTGATCTTCTCTTCCCTTCTCTCCTGTCATCACTTTTTTTCTATCATTGTTTGATCCAAAATGAAAATGGAAAAAAAATTCAAATTTTTGTTTGTTCACGTGTTCATGTATAAATGTATGTGTTTGCCTAGAGGGGCATGGAGATTTGGTTCTAAAACTCCAGATAGAATCCCAAGTGATCAACAAATTAGGCACCCACTACATACCAAGAATTGTGCTAAGCACTGTAAGCGAAAGGAAAGGAAACATGTATTAAGCACCTACGATGTGCCAGGCACCAAATGATTTACAAATACTATTCTCATTTGATCTTCACAGAAACACTGGGAAGTAGATGCTATTATTATATCCATTTTCAATTGAGGAAACCTAGGCAGAGGTTAAGTGACTTGCCCAGGGTCACACAACTAGTAAGGGTCTGCAGCCACAATTGAAGTCATGTGTGGCTGACTCCAGGCCCAGTGCTCTATATATTGTGCCTTAGTAGAACTGGTCCTGCCCTCAAGGAGCTTCCAATCTATTTGAAAAGACAAGCCTTGCATACCAAAACGCTAAGGGAATGATATAAAATTGCTTCTAATCAAGCACTAGATTGTGGGATATGGAATACACACATTTAGACAACCCACACACTCACCAGGTGGTTTTTATTAAATGTTTAACAACAAAGACAGTGTTTTTTCCTGTCCCTTTTCCCCTTGAGCCTGCCTTTGCTTCAAATAGGAAAACAAGTGTGGCAGCAATAGACTGCCTTTGGCAGGAAGTAGACTTGGAAAACAGCAGGAGGCCCAAGTAAGCCTTTTAAAGCTGACCTGGCAGAGAAAGAGTGGTTTTAAAAGAAAAGGCAAAGTCACACATACCTAATAGTATCAAAGACAGGATTATTTCAAGCAATCTACATTCCTTCATTGAATGTCCCTGTAACACAAGTACTGCACTTGGCCACGTGGTTCCATAGAAAATATACTTCCTGCCCTCAGGGAGCTTATTTATGCTCTAATAAAAGATTCAAGAAAAAATATAAATGTATTTCTGAAAATTGTTAAGGAATGTTTTAACAAAACACAAAGGAAAATTAACTTTGGAATTGAATCACTCTAAATTCTATTTGAATACGATTCTAACCTTTAAAATTATTTTTAAAGGAATTGTTGCTAGCACTTCCCTCTGAATTGTCCTACTTTTTTACCCTATGACTATATTTTAATGGTTTTCCCGTTCCTAGTGCTCTGGGCAAGTATAATTCCCTGGAATGATGCCTCTTCTTCAGTCCCTCAAGTATCACGGGACTTATATCTGCAAAGGAACTTTGAGATCATCTCATTCAATCGTCTTATTTTGTGGTTGCAGAAACTGAAGCCCAGAAAAATTAAATGAGTTACCAAATGTCACATGTAATAGTGGAGGCAGCTAGGTGGCTCAATGGATAGAGCAGCAGGCCTGGAATCAGGAAGACCAGAGTTCAAATACAGCTACTTACTAACTGTATGACCCTGGGCAAGTAAATTAACCCTATTGCCTTAATCCATTGGAGTAGGAAATGGCAAACCACTCCAGTACCTTTGCCAAGAAAACCCCATGGACAGTATTGGTGTTCTATGACCCACAGGATCACAAAGAGTCAGATATAACTGAATGACTGAACAACAACACAGTGGTAGTAGTAGCAGTAGCAGTAGCAGCAGCAGCAGTAGTAGTAGTAGCAATAGCAAGTTAGTTGCCAGGCTGTGATTCAAACCCAAAACCTCCAGTACCGATTCCAATACTCTTTCACTATACACTAAGTCTTGTCACATTTCATTTTTTAATTGAAAATTTTTAGAGACATTTAGGTATAAACTATATATAGATCAGCTTATCTCTGCCTGGTTACCAAGCCCTTCCATGACCTAACTCCATCCTACCTCCCCAACTTTATTTCTCACTACTCCTCATCCCATAAACTGTCTGTACTACTTAGACCCATCTCCTTATACACACCACCACTGCCCTGCCTCATTCTCACTCCCTCACTTTCCAGAAGTTATTTCTCCACTTAAAATGCCCTTTCTGGTCTTCTCCAGTTATTCAAATACTAACCACCCTTCAGGGCCAAACATAATTGGACATTATGATAGCACTTATATAGTACTTTAAGGTCTGCAAAGCAATTTATGGGTGAGGAGAGGGGAGGGAAGGAGAGATGTGGAAAGAGCTATGTCTCTATAATCAGAAGACCTAGGCTCAAATTCTCCCTCTGAATCTTTCTACCTATATAACCATAGGTAAGTCATTGAACATCTCTGAACCTCAGTTTCCTCATCTGTAAAATGAGGGGATTAAACTACATAACCTCAAAGGTCCTTTCCAGCTCTAGAACAGTGATCCTATATGTATATATATATATATATATTTAACATGCATATATTTAGATATATACATATATATATTTATACACATACACCATTTTATAATTGTACATACCTAGTATTGTCTTATTTCCCACTAGATTGTAGATTCTTTGAGATTATAGATAGATTTAGTGTCCTATTCCCAATACACACACACCCCCTTCACTAACACCTGCTCTATTATGAAAGGATAACTTTTGTGCCCTCAGATGTTCATTAATCAACAAGTATTTATTGACCTACAGTAGAAGGACTCGATGACTTTGAAGATCTCTGAGTCCATCAGAGTGTGTACTTCCTTTCCCTAGACCCTCTTAATTGGCCTTCATGACTTTCTTTTGCTATTAAAAAAATTCAATACCCTTTGGCTGACCAGGCAATAATCCTCTCTAAACTTGGCCAGGCTAATCTTTGCCATGGCCGGCTCTTATTGGGCCCTTACTCAAAGCCTTCCCAGCTTTGTAGATCAGACTGACCTTATGCTACAGTAGGCATGAGAGTAGGTCTTTGGTGGAAGGAATGTTAATTAATAGAGGAGAGAAATTATGGTGTGAAGGTAAAACCACAAGAATTTATTTTATGTCAGAAGCTTGGGAACATTGGGAATGAGGACCAGGGTAGTCAAGGCTACATTGGTAAAATATGAGGTCCTTATAATTAGAGATCATTTCATTCATTGTATTTGTATCCTCAGCAAGTCACTTAAACTCTCTCCACCTCAATTTCCTTATCTACAAAATAGCAATCACCTACCTTACAGGGTTGTGAGGATTAAATGAGATAATATACGTATAGCATTTTGCAAATCCTTGCTATATAAGCCTCTGTCCCTGTTAAAATGCAAGTGCTGTGTTACCTGGGAAAGGTAACACTGTAAACCTTAACACTCATTTAGTGTGAATAATTGGAGAACTTAGCCCTTTTGGTTGTGAAACTCCTACCTTAGGAGTGTGTTGAACTGATTGATGAGTGTGTCACATAGCCCACTATATCTACATGACACCCACCTATATTTCACATTCTGCTTGGGTGACTTTCTCATCATCAAACTTGTGCCTATTCTCCGTCCCATCCCCACATCTCCTTTCTATCTCTAGAACCACAACCAAACCAATATTTCCCTTGATAATAGAAAGGGTATGTCAACTTTTCTATAATTCCCCTCATCATCCCTATGACTTTATAAACCGAAACACCCTTCCCTGGCCACCAATCCCCCTCTTCCCAATTAAAAGGCAAGATCCTTGAAGGCAGAGACTATCTTGCTTTTGTATTTTCATCCTTGGTGCTTAGCAGCATTGCTTGCCACATAATAAAAGCTTTAAAATGACTTTTCATCTAATACTCTACGAAAATCCTTCTCTGCAGAGCATAAAAGTGTCTCTGAGTTCCTAAAGGTTACAGCATAGCTTACAAACTATGGCAAGTCCCACCAAGATAGGAAGACTTCAAATATTGGCATAGGGGTGGGCCAAGTAGGATCCCTTAAGGCAACTTACTTGTAGCTCATGCTCCCATCCTCTCTGTATGCCTATGTATACAGGTGCTGCAATGGACCAGGAGTATGCCTTACAAAGTTCACAAAAACTTATCATCTGGTAGCTGCCCGGTGAAAAATCTGGTTGATGTCAGTAACTCACAAAAGAATCCACCAAGATGTGAAGGGATGGAAATCTGCCAGCAAATGAAACACCCATTTCAATGAAATCACCCATCTGTTTCAGGTCCTAAAAAAGTGAATGAACTTCTAGCTTTTGCTCAGAATAAGCTTTGAAAAAGGAGAAGGTGGGAGCAGAATCCAAGAATGAGAAAGAAAGACACAGGAAGGAAGGAGCATATCACACTCATAAACACCCTCTTTCACAGACCTAAAAAGCTAGCTTCAATTTCATTGTTATAGGGAAGCCCTGAGTAAATGGAATGGACACTTACTTGCTAGATTTGAGAAGCTAGCCTTCAGGAGTCCATTCCTCTTACCAATCCATGAAAATCTATGTCATTCATCTATGCCCTAAGAAACAGCTAGTCCGTTCTTTCTTGGGATTTAAGAATGAGGGAGGAGAACAGAGGGAAAGGGCTCCTGGCCATATATGCCAATCCAAAGAGCTGGGAAAGGATGTCAGGCACCTTAGAAATGAGCTTTTAAATAAAATGGAAGCCATTATGACCTCTGCTTATCTTCCATTTGTCCCATATCTCTTTACAGGAAATACACAGCCTGGTGATTTTGAACTAAAAAAATCAGTTTAATTTTCATTGTTGATCATCTGGGACATTATTCAATGTTTTCTCCCTGTGAAAAGCAAGTCTCTATCACTATGAGATCCATAGCATGAACATATTATTCCTAAGATATGGCCACAAAAAATGAGAACAGGGCAAAGCAGATATCCTGGGGGAATGTGTATAGAAAGAAGAGTATATAAAACATTTCACCAAGAGAAACTCTCTATTCCCAACTAAGCCTGAGTTTTTAATATTCCAAGCACAGAATTCTCCCACCTGAGGCTGTTTGCCTTAATCACATCTCTACTAAATTTTCACTTTGGAGATCTTATTGGATGGGTGTCCCATAACAAGTGATTATAGCTCTCAATGAAAAATTCAAGTTGGCCTGCTACTTGGTTACTCATTGATGAGATGTCACTGGGGCCAGAATAATTTGGAGAGTTTTTGCCCTCCCTTTCCCACAGACCCACCTTCCTCCAGCTCCCCCCAAAATCAATCTGTGTAATATCACACTGAAAGTGGACATGTTTGGCAAAGCATTCAGCTGCAACTCAAGTGGGCTGTTCTTGGGCTTTGGATCAATATGGTTTACTCTTCTTCATACAGAGGTAGACTTCTTGTCAATGTGATACTCTTTACAAGTGTTCTTGGGGTACAGAGGGTACGCATATGATATATTGTGCCTCCAAGTTCTTTAAAACCACTGAACCTTCAATTCTAAAGATTTAGAGTTTTTCTCATTAAAACATGACAAAGCCCAGTAAAGTCAGAAAAGCAGGCAACTTAAGACTGGATGGCATGCACTATGAAATCCTATACTGTGTATATTTTATAAAGCTTTGGTTAGAACCTTGTCTAGAAACTCCAGAGCTTGAGAGCATTTGTTGTCCTGATTGGCTAATAACCCAAATTTTGAATTCCAGCTCTGATTCCCAAATACTTTTAAAGGCCTGCTATATTTTCCCCTTATTGTTCTGAAGAATCCTACCTTGAACAAGATGAAGTAGGATTGCTAAACTTTATAAGAGTCTACCTCCTATTGACACTTTTTCTTGAACTTCAGATTATGAGCTCAGTGGAACAGACCAAGTCATCTTTGACATTGATCTGGGCCAGCAACAAGCTACCACCTTCATGGGTCCCATGGCAAAAGGGGACAGAGGAACACAATGTGAAAGGGAAACCTCCTACAACACAGAGACTACAGCAATGCCATCTTTCAATCTTAATCTGATAGCTTGGGCAGAGTGAATCATCCTTTGTCAAACAGTTTGGGAATTTGGAATCATTTCCATGATTCCAGATCACTGGACTGAGTTTCCATGGTGGCCATTCTCCAGTGCTGCCTCTTCTCCCATTCCCACCTCCATCATAACCCCAAGCCTAAAATATAGAAGACCACCTACAGACCATCATGAAATGACCAATTGCCCTCAGGAATAAGACAAACCTAGGTTTTGATACTGGAGAAGGAGATGGCAAACTACTCCAGTATCTTTGCCAAAAAAAACCCAAAATCGTGTCACAAAGAGTTGGACATGACTGAAACAATAGAACAACAACAAGATTTTGATAGCTCTGATCCAGATAGTCGTGCTGAAACTTGAATTCAGTGTGCTTTTTATCTTTTCAATGTGAGAACCTTAGAAATGAAAACCTATTCTGATTTTTCAGTGATAGAATGACAATAGCCATATTATAAGGAAGGTGGAAAGGAAACCCTCCAAAAAGTATCTTCCACAGCCCATAAGCCAAGTAATCAATTGGTGATCTTCATTGCTTCTGTCATCAAATGATGTGGCTACAAGATTTGAAACAAAACTTTAATTTTCTACTTTTGTTGCCTGGTATATAGGCCCTTTTTCAGTCTGAGAGCAACAGGATAAGTTGGGACTGGGGAGAATATGAGGGAGTAGTTTAATAAAAGTTCACATTTGTAAGCTGCTTAAGAGTTTCCAAAATCTATCATCAACTCTGAGAGGTAGAAAGTATATGCATAATATCTCCATTTTACAGACAGAGAAACCAAGGGCTGGGCTGAAGTAAGTCATTTGTCCACCATCGTAGAGCTAGTAAGCAACAGAGCTAAAATTGAAACCCACCTCTTCATCCTCACATCTAATTCTCCTTCCCCCATACCCTTTGCCTCCTCCAAGAGCCACCACTGAAAAGGTGGTGCTACAGGATCCTTCAAAGGCAAGGGTTCCAAAGAGCTCTCCCACCATTTTGAAAGTCTTCTCTGTGTCTGTTTCCACAGGCTTGGATGTTAGGCATGCTCAGGTAATTGCACTGTCATCCGGTACCAAGTGCATAAATGGAGAATACATCAATGACCAGGGACTCGTGGTCAATGACTGCCACGCTGAGATTGTGGCGAGGAGAGCATTTGTTTACTTCCTCTACTCACAGCTGGAGCTGCACCTCAGGTAAATTGAACGCTGTTGATGCCTGAGAAATGCTTTATGGTCTTTCTTGGAACAAATCTGTCCTCTGGACATCGGAACTCATGGTTCCTTTATGACAGTGTTTATGTGTCTTAGGCTGATGTGTGCCCCAGTACCCAGAGAAAACCAGAACTAGCTATTCCACAGAGTAGGATCAGATGGGTTTTTTTCGTTCTGGCAGATTTTCCACCCCTAATGATTAGATATGAATCATAAAGTATATGTTCTTATTAAGCCTACTGCCAACTCTTTGAGCACCAGCTGTATTAGCATGCAGGACTGGTGGAAGATTGAAAGACTGGTCATCCTGCTCATTTACTGGTGTTTCTCTTGCCTAATAATGAATATCTCCTGACAATGAGTTATTTTCGCAGGCAATTTTCAAGGCTTATGTGTGTGCGCACACACACACACACATCCTCTGCATGCACGCTTCAGTGGTATTTGTCATTAAAACCTTCTCCAAAGGACAGAAGTCATATTAAGAATACAGCTATCAGGGATCCAAGCATGGGCAATTAGAGCTCCTTCTCTACAATACTAAAAACACCATCTTAGACAGTAGGTGAAACGACTGGAATTGAGTAGCAGATACAGATACTCCTTTAAATTTAATGTTTTGTCCCATCCTTTTATATCCAGTTCACTGCCAGTTGAGGCACTTTCCTGGTTGATTAATCATTTCACCTGCAAGGGAGACTAGGAAAATTTATTAAACAAATGGGATCAATTTGCTCTGGATCCAGCTGGACACTAGCAAATAAGCAAGGAATCAAGAGTTTCTTCTTGTATATTCCACACCTCCTTCAGTTTGAATTTAATGGAAATCATTATTTTCACCCCTCTGTTATTAATCCCAGAACTTGCCTTATGTTAAAAACAAAAAACAAAAACCTGCACTACTGTCTCTTGGGAGATGAGAGCTATTACTCTCTCTGAAAAATATAATTGCATCGATCCTGCTTCAAAGCATGTTCAGTTACATACACTGTTATGTTATTTGGATCAATGTTACCTTCTCCCTGGTAAACTTTCATTTGGGCTCTGGAGGCTTGCCAAGTCAGCATCGATAGATATGCTAGGCTGGGGTGAAATTGCAGCCATTTCCAATAGGATTAATGGTTCCACATGGCCTCAGGGCTCTGGGAATTCTGACTGGTTCATGGAAGGGTCCCCACACACTGGGCAAATGATCACTGTCAAACACTGAGGAAGATTCATCTCTGACAGGAAAGCTAATGCAACATTGTAGAAAGGCTGAGGAATATTCAACTCCAATACTTAAAACTTTCCCAGCACTGAAAGAGCTCCACAGAGCAGGCTGGACAATTTCCCATGATGGTAGATTACTAGGATATCCTTCCAAGGACAGGAGGCCTCCACAACTGGGTAGATCCATTGGTAGAAAGCTCCTAAAAAGAAAATGAGTCCCATCCCTCACAGCACCCCATGGTACAATGAGGGAGAAAGTTGGGGCGAGCTGGGAAGAAAGGGTGATCACATTATCATCATGGAACTGCAAAGCAGATCTTTGTAAGGACTAAGCCTCTTCATTTAGAGAAGGGCTGGAGCGCCTGCCTTTCTGTCTTGGCTTTGAGCAGTTGGATTTATAAAATCTCCTTTAAAAGAATGTGGGGGGAGGGAGAGAGAAAGAAGGGGGAGAGGGAGAGAGAGAGAGAGAGAGAGGGAAAAAATGTTTTAGTAAAAGTAACAATCAGCACTTCTGATGTACCTCTCAAATAGGTGCAGAAGTGTGATGGAATGAATAAGAGGCTGCTTTGGGGCCACAACAAATGAAAATATTAGATATTATAGATTTAGAGCTGGAAGAGACCTGAGAGACCATCAAGTTAACACTATCATTGTACAGATGGAGGAAAACTGCTCAGGAAACTGAGGCTCAGATTAAAGTGATTTGTCCAGAGTTACATAGTAAATGTCTATGGAAGGTTTTGAACACAGATCTTCCTGACTCCAAGACCAGAAATCTAGCCTCTATACAATATCTCAAACTCTTCCCCTCCAAAGTGATTTCCTAATTGTTTTCTACAGCTCTTGCTCACCACCACAGCCCCTCTTAAACCAATGTAATTCTTGTATAGCTATCCAAAAGAAGAGACCAGATTAAAGACTGTAAAATGAGAGGCAGCTAGAATGAAGGGAAGCAAGGGAACAGTATTCATTAATTGCTTAATATGTGCCAGGAACTGTGCCAAGCACTTGACAAATATTATCTCATATAATCCTCACAACAACCCTGCAAGATCAGTGTTATTATAGTCCCTTTTTTAGAGATGAGGAAAATGAAGTAGACAGGTTCAGTGACTTGTCTGGGATAACACAACCAAAAAAATATCTGAGGGTCACATTTGAACTCAGGTGTCCTGACTCCAGGTCCAGTGCTCTATCTGCTGTGCCATCTAGATGTTCACTGAATGCTTTATGCCAACTATATACCAAATAAGCAACCAGAGTACTTCCCTTCCTAAAAATAGCAAGATAGTTAAGTCACCTAGAAAGTTTTAATTATTAATCCATGTGAGCACATACTGTATTTTCTCACAACGTTTATATGATTTACCAAAAAAACCACGTATTCTCTGATGGGGGGGAGAGAGAGAGAGATGAGTCCTATAAATGTTAGGAAAATGAGAGATTGGTATAACCTATTTTTCATCTCAAAATAAAAAGACCAAATGCACCTCAAATCAATAATGGCTACCATATCAACCATCTAATAGCCATGACATGGTCTGGTTGAAGCATATGGTTGTGTATAGTCAATTTCTGCATAAGAAATCACAAACCTCACTCACAAATGCACAGAACATCTCATTTTATTTTTACCATGATTTCAGAGAGAGCGGGACCTTCCCGAGGTAAATCTGAGAAGCTGAACAAGCTTGGTAGCCTCCTACCAAGTCTTTCAGCCCCTCTCCTTTTTATTTTATTTAATTTTTTTTTTTGGTGCCCCTGGCCTCATCTTGCCTCAGCTCACAGAGCCTCTGTGGCAGCCTCTCCTCCATGATTTATCCCATTTCCAAAAGCTTTTTTTTTTCCAATTACCCTGAACCTCAGAACACATCCATCCCTTGCCAGCTCCACCTGGAATAATGGAGAACCTTCCCTCGTAGATCATGGAATCATAGATTTCAAGCTAGATGGGACAATAGAGGTCAGTGAGCCCCAATGCCCTTCATTTTATGGGTGAGGCAATTAAAGCCAGAGAAATTAGATGACTTGTGGAGAATAACCCAACACTACTTAGCATTTGAGGGAGTATTTGAACCCGGGACTTCCTGATTTCAAGTTGAATATTCTGTTCACTTTACCACACTGTAATTACACTTACAACTGCTAGGTACCAATTCATGAGAATAATGAATCCCTCTGAAGTGATCACATTATTTGAAGACTCAAATCAATTACCATTTATATAATTATAATCTTCAAATAGTGCGAATTTGAATACGTGACCCCTTCAGGGGATTCATGATTGGAACCAATTAGCTGTAATATGAGAATCAGTTGAAGGCACTTAGTGGTATTTAAGAAAAGAAATAACAGAGGGGCATATGGTAGATATTTCTAAGTATCTGACTTATGACAGATAAGGACTTAATCTTGTTTAACTTGACCCCAGAGAGCAGATGTAGAAACAATGGGCAGAAGTTGCAAAGGGAATTTTTCGGCTTGACATCAGGCAAAACTTCCAGACCAAATATGCCCCTGCAGGAGTGAAACCTGCAAGGTTTCCACTTTGTGGAAGTCTTCAAAAAGAAGCTGAATGACATCTTGTCAAGGATGCTACATAGAGGAGATACCTGATGGTTACCAACTGGAGTCCATGACTTCTGAGGTCCTTTTCAACACTGAGATTCTGTGAAATATGTGAAACTCTAAGATAATCCTAAGGGAGAGGTAGATGAGTGTGGTAGATCAAACGCTAGGCACAGAGTCCAGAAAACCCAAGTTTGAATCTTGCCTCAGACACAGTAACTTCACTTCCATGAGTCTCAGTTTCCATATCTGAAAAAGGAGGATAATGCTGGAACTTAATGGGACGATGTTAATAGAGTGCTTTGCAAATTTTAAAGCACTGCATAAGTCTCAGCTAGTAAATATTACCTCCTAACTAAATTAAAATATGAGGCGATGATAGTTTAAGGTACTATTCCTCTCAAGTGAGTTTCTCAAGGGACAACAAGCCTTTACAACTCAAAGGAATAAGCCATTCCTGACTGCAGTCATTGCCAGAAATATTTATCTCTCAAATTGCCCCCCTATCTACTCATAATGTTGGCCATGAAGGTAGGGCCTGTCACTAGATGGAACATAGAACTTTCTTTCTCCATACTTCTTTACTCTTCCCCCTCCCCCAGACAGGGGGTTGAATACTAATAACTGACCTTTATTTAGCATGTTAGGTTTATTAAGTCCTTTTTATACATTCATGCTCTCATTTGATTCTCACAACATCTTGTAAGAGAGATGGTGTAATTATTAGGGAGGAGGGGAACAGGGAACTAGACCTATGATTCCATGGTGAAGAGCTCCCTCTACCAATTAAGATCAGCATCTGGTCCCCCGCTTTAGAGTATGACCTGAAATACTGAAAGAATAAGTGACTTGTGCTGGTCACCAAGCCAATATGTACCCAAGAAGAGACTTGAATCCTAATACTGAGGTTGGCTGTCTCTCTCTCCACCAAGCCACGCTACCTCTCTGATTGGTTTTATTATCATCCCTATTTGACAGAAAGGTAAAGATAATGGTGAGAAATGTGAAATGACTTGTCCAAGGTTGCATAGCTTATCAGTAGCAGAGTTGAGACTAACTCCAAGACCAGTGCTCATTGCATTACAAAAGTCAGACTCTTGTGGTGAAGGGAAGGGTAACATAGGGTCAACAATGAAGGATGCTCAGGACAGTCCTCCTTCTTCAAGACAAGCATCTATCATTGAACTTCATTGTATACGATGACTAGAAACAGTTTCCCCCTCCTTGGATTTGAGATTATGAAGTCTCAGGATCATTCTTTCAAATCTTTAATCATTGGATTTAATCACTGTGCTTGTCTCTTTTTAAGAACTTGCTTCTCCTTGGTCCCTCCACAGTCTTTTATTCCACCTATGCCCCTTCTGTCCCCCAACTCCACCAATATCATATGATCGATAGGATCACTCAAGCAGATACTTCATGCATCTGTACAACCCATTAGCATGGGTGGGAACTGAACAAAAAGGAGATGAGCTCAAATATGATTTGGAAAGCATTCTAAGACAGTAGTTGCTTGGCCATAACTGAGTTTGCCCCAATAACATCTTAGTATATTAACTTGTCTTATTTTTCTTGACAAGCTGACAGCTCCCTAATAACTCATTCCTACTGGCACCATATGATCTTAGAAGACTATGCCAAGTACGTGGGCAGGTGCTCACAACTATAAACCATATGGGGTTGGGGTGACAAGGCTTTTTAAATGTAGACAAGAATTTATCCTGAATCCTATTTGCTCAAATGAAAACATTTCAAAATATACAGATTTGGAAACTGCTAAGTAGTTGGATGCCAGGAAGGATTTCTGAAATACTTCCCCAAGATGAAAATGGTCTCCAAACCATTTTCCACTGCTGATCGTAGGAGTCTGTGGATCACACTTCATGCTTCCTTCACAGATATGAGAAGGAGAGTCCAGAGCACAAAGAATAAACTTTCATAAAGTACAATTTCTCCTCAGTGAATCCCCATTAATGTAGGACAAGTAAAAGCCCTGGATCCAGAACCTTCATGAAAAGTTCAGCTACAACATCTTCACAAATTCCCAATCCCAGCCAAATCCTGAGAAAGCCAAAAGACCAAAAGATGCAATGATCCTTCTCTTCTATAAAATAAAACGTTTAAGACTGTGGCTGCTATTCCAGCTACAAACCATGTGGTGACAGTGGAAAGAACACTGGCTCTTGGAGGCAGAGGACCTGGTTTCAAATCTTGCCTTTTACATTTACTCCCTGTGTGACCTTGGACAAATCACTTAACATCTTTAGGCCTCAGTTTCTTCATTCACAAAATGAAAGAGTTAGACTAAATGACCTCTGAAGTGACCCTTCCAACCCTAAATCCATGATCTATGATTTAAGGGATCATGCAACTGTAAGATTTAGGTATGTGTATGTGCATTAACAATGTGTCTTAATCTTCTGGGGAGAAACATTTTATTCTGGTAGAGTGGCATGCCTCTGGTCCCATTTATACAGAATCCATTATCAAGTGGCTTTTTGAGGGCAAGAAGCATGTCTTATTGAACTGTTATATCCATCCCAGGGACTACCAAGGCATCCTTTTAATTAATACACATTTAATACATATTGGCTGAATAGGTTTCCCTACCTCACTTCTGGTTTTTGTGTGGCCAAATCTATGATTCTGTCATTGTATAGGGAAGCATCAGTGTCTGGGGAAACTTCTTCCAATAATGAAAATCAGTAATTCACCAATAAGTTTAAGTCTTAGAGCAGAATTCTTTACCTTTTTTGAGTCATGGTCCCTTTTGGCAATCTGATGAAGTCTATGGACCCCTTCTTAGAGTAAGGTTTTTTAAAACATAAGAAAACATACATACTTAGGATTACAAAGGAAATCAATTACATTAAAATGTAGTTTTCAAAAAAATTGTTTTTCACAAGTTTATGGACCCCTAGTTAAAAAACCTTACCTTTGAGAGTCATCTGGAATAGCAAAAGGATGTATGACTTGCCTACGGTCACACAGCTAATATATGCCTGCTATAAGTACAGGATATGCATATATCCTGACCCCAAGTCTACTGCCTCTGTATCTTCAATGCCACACTCTCTAATGAATTAGTACACATGTTAAAAAAAAAAACCCAGCAAATGAAACAAGGTGTGAAAGACTTCTTAAGCTGGCCCCTCCTACCATTTAAGTCTTCTCACACCTTACTTTCCTTTCTATACTCTGCAGTCCTTACTGATCTTCAAACAATACATCCCATCTCCTGACTTTGGGCATTTGCAGTGGCTGTCCCCAATGCCAGGAATTCTTTCCCTTGTCACATCTGCTTCCTGACTTCCTTCAACACCCAACTCAAATCCTACCTCCTGGAAGAAATTTCCTGATGCTCCTTAATGCTAGTGACTTCCCTCTGTTTATTAACTCCAGTTTATCCTGTACATGTCTTGTTTTACCTAGTTGTTTGCATGTTGTCTCCACTATTAGACTGTTTTTTGCCTTTCTTTGTATCCCTAGTGTTTGCCATAGTGCCTGTCACATAGTAGGTGCTTGATAAATGTTTGTTGACTGACTGGGAGCTTCCTTCCTATAACTGAAATAGATTTTGTGAGGTAGAGGGAACTTTTTCCAGGATAAAAAACCCCAGTTCATCAAATAACCAAAAGGAAACTGGTTTCCTTGAGTCTATATACCCTTGGTCATGATTGGGTGAGGAAGGAAAGGGGAAACCGATATATTAAAGTCCTGACAGTTACTATTTCTTCCTTGTAGTTCTGCCTGTCAGTTCAGGCTGTTTTTAAAATCTCTTTTCTCTTTTCATTATTTAAACTCAATCCCCATCGCCATTAGGCAGAGTCAGATTTAAAAGCCGTTTACTCTAATCAGGAGCTGTGTAAATACACAGAAAAGTAGCTTCATAAATACATAGATCTTGGTCAGTGTCTGTGGGGGAAACCAAACCATGGAAAAAGATAAACCCGCAAAGTCAAACTTTACCCCAGGGTGCGGAATGCATTGGCAGCTCTGATCCGCTTGTCTCACTCCAAGCGGCAGGGCTGCTAAATATTTCAGAGGATTTGCCACAAGAGGAAAACATGATTCAGAACGAAAAAGTCAGGGGGGAGGTGGAGTGAGGGGTGGAGAGGGTGGAGAGAATAGAAAAAAAGCAGAGCCATTTGCCTGGTAGGAATGTTTCTGATTTGGAGCACTCAAAATGACCTGGAACCTCTTTGTGATCATAGCAAACAGCGAGAGGACTCGGAACGATCCATCTTCATGCAGTTGAAAGAGGGAGGATATCGGCTGAAAGAGAACATCCTATTTCATCTGTATGTGAACACCTCTCCCTGCGGAGACGCGCGCCTCAACTCTCCCTATGAAATCACAACTGACTGTAAGAGACCACTTTTAATCCTTCCCCTGCCAAAGGGCGCAAGCACCCAAGCCACACACACTACTAGCACCACCAAAAGTAACAGTGTCATCTGTCAACATGGTCATCGTCATCATCCTTCTCTCTCTCTCTCTCTCTCTCTCTCTCTCTCTCTCTCTCTCTCTCTCTCTCTCTCTCTCTCACATACACACACACACACACACACACACACACACACACACACACACATACACACATGCACACACGTGTGTGTCTGGTGCCTATTTATTAGAACATGGTCTGTTCACAAAAGAATGTGAACAAAAGAAGAATTATAGAAGTAATTCACAGGCTGAGACAAAAGTGAGTTTTAAGCAAATATTTTTCAATTGTGAAAAATGTTTCTTTATGGCTTTTTTTTGACACTAGAGTTTTCATGCATGACACAACCACCAGTGCCATTGAATTTTCCTCAGAGGGCAGTGGAGTTCCAAGATGGGCATAGTGATGGACTTGGAGTAAGAAAGAAGTGAGTTTTGAGTCTTGCCTCAGACACTTACTGGCTGAGTGACCCTGAGCAAGTCACTTAACCTCTCTCTACCTTAATTTCCTCTTTAAATGGGGATAATAATAGCACTTACCATATATAACAAGTGTCTTGTGAGGATCAAATGGATGCTATTTTAAGTGTTTGCAAACCTGACAATCCTATGTAAATGCTACTATTATTATGACAAAGAAAAACAAGTCATCAAAATAAATTAATGCACTGTGACAGCTTATACAGTATTCTCCATTCATTGTTTTCCACCTCTCTATGTAGAAGGAAGAGGCATGTTTCATCTTTTCTCCTGATCAAGATTGGTTTTTACAGTTCAGAGTCTAGCTTCCTTTCAATGTCATATTTACTGTATTTCTATAGTATTTGTTTTTTTATTTTTCTTACTTCACAGTTCATCAGTTCAAACAGTTCTTCTTAAGCTTTTCTGAATTAAATCTAATTTTTAAAATGTATTTTTTTTATTTTTACATCAACTGCATTTCCAAATTTATCTGTTCTCCCTCCTCTACCCAGCAAGCCATCCCTTTTAATTCAACAAACTTTTATGAAGTGCTTACTCTGCACTCATATTCATTATCTTTAACAATGCATAACTAATTCCATTACAATAATATACCACAGTCTATTCAGCCATTCCTCAATGATGGGCACCTACTTTGTTTCCATTTTTTGTTAGCTCTATAATTCTTCCCTTCCTTTGGCAGGTATAATTGTAACCTTGGTTATGAATGAAGTGGATTATCTCAAGAAATGCTTACTTCCACTAAGGGATTAGAGGAGAACAAAGCGCAACCTTTGCAACTAAGTTAGAGTCATTTAGGAGACTTGCTTTGGAGTGGGGGAAGGGAATCCCTTCTTAAGTTATCTCAGTGACACATCAACTATTTTTCCTCTATGAAGATAAAGCTACAGGAACTTACCTGTATGATCTCATTCAAGTCACTTAAGCTTTCTGGGCCTCAATTTCTCCTCCCATAAAATGAAGCAGTTGGGCTAGATCTAGACCTCTAAGGTCCCTTTCAGACCAAGATCAAGGCTTTTTGAGGGGTGAGGAAGGATGCTCTTGAACTGCCTACTATCAAAAATGAGATGTGGTAGGCCAACCATGTTCTATTCTTCTCAGTCACCTCTGTTATTGGTGGCACATGTTCCTGAGATGGGCAGTTGGAATACGGGATGAAGTCTTACAGAAAAGCTGGTTTTGGTGTTACTGTTGGTATTGTTTTTCCCTTACGTAAAACTAACTGGCCAAAATTCTCAAGAGGTTGGAGAACAAAGGAAAGAATAAAAAGAAACAGAAGAAAGAATAAAAGGGGAACCTTGTGGATCAAACATCCCTCTTCTTAAGTATAATATAAACTGGTTACTAACTTTGGAGAAATGTTGAAGCTATTTTAAGGTGATTTTCTATGACTGAGCGTAGTGTATAGTTCAAATATATCTGCCTAACCAGGACACAGAGGTTATGAGGATTCCCCTCCCCAGGCCTCTGAGAGAATCTGTGATAAATTCCATATATATAGCCCTGATTTCCTGAGGGGGGCTCTGTTTAATTTCTAAGCCTTGTTCCTCTGAGGAATCCATTTTATATACTCAGTATACTAGATACTAAATCCACTAGAGTGAAAAATTTTTTTTAAATCCTATGAACATTTTACCCAAATGACCAGCCTTTAGACTGGCTGAAAGGATGCTCCACACCCATTAGTAATAACCTCTATGGGTTTATGCTAGAGTTATATAGTTTATTCCTCCTCCTTCCCAAGCTGCTCATTCCCTTTGGAAATGGAAACGTCAAACTAAGCAAATAGGAAGAAAAAATGAAATGTTTATCAATCAAGGGACCAATAAGCATTTATTAAATATCTACTATATGCTATCCAGGGTAGCTAGGAGGACCTGGAGTCAGGAAGAGTCATTTTCCTCAGTTCAGATCTGGCCTCAGACACTGTATGACCATGTTTGCCTCGGTTTCCTCATCTGTAAAATGGCAAATAAATGGCTAACCAGTCCAGTATCTTTGCCTAGAAAACCCCAAATGGGGTCATGAAATATTGGACATGATGAAATGACTGAACCACAACATATGCTATCCACATATATGCTAGGCACAGGTTACATAAAGACAGAAGTGAAACAATCTCTGCCCTCAAGGAGCTTGCTAGCTAGTACATTTACCCTACAATAAAGACTTATCAAGTGCCTACTATGTGCTAGAGTCCCTGATCTTAAGGAGCTTACAATCTAATAGAGAAAGATAATACACAAAAAGGGAGTTGAAGAGACAAGGCAGTGCCAAAAGTTTAGGGGCAGGGGTTTGGGATGGCATGATGATGGAGTCAAAATCAAGCAGAGCACTAGGGGCAAATGAAGAGAATGGCTGGGATTTTGAAGGGGGTGAGAAGAGTTATTTGTTCCACCCTCTAGTCCCAGGGACAGAAGCAACAAGGATACTAATGAAGTCTGAGTACCAAAACAAAACCATCTCCATGACGATGACTTTCCTGGTGATGAGCTTGGAAGGGCTCAGAGAAGGGGAGGGAAGGAAGGTGCATCGTGATGATGATACTGAAGTCAAAACCACAGAACAGCTGATGGCAAATGAAGGACACATTTATATGTAGATACATTTATGAATAGACACAAGATAGACAACATGGTGATTTGGGGAGAGGCTCCGAAAGCTGAGGTGGTTGCCTAAATTCAATAGAATAAATATTTATCAAGTGCCTCTTATGAGCATAGCATCCTGAATGAAAGGAGCTGAATGTCTCTCTGTGGGGGGAGGAGAAGGGTTTGGGAGAGCCAACGAGCAATATGGAAAAGCTTAAAATAAGCTTCTTTTAAAAAGAAATACCAAGTATATGGAAGGATTTCTTGGCTTGGATGAGCAGAAAATGTAATGTAAAGCTTAATGAACTTCTGGAGAAAAATTAGAAAAGTGAAGCACTTTTTGTAAATATACATGACCTATGTCTAAATGATATAAAACAGCCCCTTTTTTTAAACTGCAAAATGTGGTCCCTTATTCAGCTACTTGGAAATGGCTTTCATTTTCATCCATATTTTTTGCCACCATAAAAATATAGTCTAAGCCTTCTGACTCGGGGGGGGGGGCAAAAGTCTTTCAAATGTATTCAGTTTCTTGCTGCCATTTTGGTCTCTGACCTCCTAGTAGGAATCACAAGAGGATGGGGTTAGAACTACAAGAAATTTAAGACTCACTAGCAAGGCCTCCTATAGTAGTGCACAAATTCAGAAAGCATTCCACATTTTTTTGTGTACTGGACACCAAATGGCTTCTTCAGAAGTCCTGTTGATTCCTAAATTCATGAAATATTTGGGCTGGAAAGGATCTTACACATCAGTGAGTCCAAGCCTGTTGTTCTGCAAGTGAGGAAGCTCTGGCCCAGAAAAGGAATGAAGGGATTTGTTGAAGTTTACACAGGTAAAATGCAGCCAACTCTAGTACACTTTCCATTACACCATGGATGGAAATTTAATAAATTTAATAAATTTATTTATTTATTATTATTATTATAAATAAAATTATTTATTATTATAAATAAAATTAATAAATTTAATAAAATTTAAAATTCATCCAGTCTCAGATGCATCCTGGGATTCATTAAACAGGTACGGATAGATGCCTTACCTTAATGGCTTTCTTAGAAATGACAGGTGTTGGAAAGAAGGTAACTAAGACATTCCCCTCACACATATATTATACAATGAGCCAGATAAGCACAGGGGGTTATTATTACAATATTTATACTAGAAAGCAACTTGAAGTGTTTCAGTTAGCCAGTCAACAAGCACTTATTGAGGGTTTATTTGTGCCAAGCCCTGTGTTAAAGCAAAGGGAATTAAAATAGAGGCAGATATATTCTCCTTGATGTCAAGGAGCTCATATTCTAATTGGATTATACAATATGCACAGACCTATGTACATATAAGATGCATACAGAGTAAAAAGAAAGTAATCACAGGGAAGAACCTGGAGTGGGGGTGGTAGAGCCATCAGGAACCTTGCTATTTCTGCTCTAGCACAAGCTTGGAACTTTCCCAGTCCCCACTAAGATTAATAGGCTCTTTTCCCAGAGGGTAGCAACTGTATCTCCTCAGAGCTCTAGGAATAGCCTTAGAGTCATCCCTAGAGAGCTGGAAGATGGAAGTAGGGAATGAGAGGGGGTTGCTTTTCTCATGCCATAACTGATGAGGCCCCCACCAGGGTGCTTCCCTTCATCATCATCATTTGACATCATGTAGTCAGCCTGACAATTAGCTTCTAGAAGTCTGTGACCCAGACTTCCACTGGTACTTAGAAGTCCAGGGGAAGACAAGTTCAAGCTTTGAGACAACATGTGACAAGGATAACTATAGCTTCTGGTTGCTGGTGGCCCTTTTCTCCCCATCCCAGGGATACCCATAAAATTCCCCTCAGGAATGTTGTAGCTTT